TACTACCACTACCACTACCACTACTATTACCACTACTACTACCACTACTACCGCTACTGCTAGTGCTATTACCACTACTACGACCACTACTACTACTGCTACTATGACTACTGCAGCCACTACTACTACTACTACTACTACTACTACTACGACAACTATTACTACTACTACTGCTGCTGCTGCTGCTGCTGCCACCACTAATACTGCTACTACCACCACTACTACTACTACCACCACTACTACTACTGCCACTACTGTAACTATTACAGCCACTACTGACTGCTACCAATACTACTACCACTACTACTACTACTACTACTACTACTACTACTACTACCACTACTACTATTACTACTACTACTACTACTACTGCATCTGCTGCAGCTACTACTATGCCTGCAACCATTATGGCTACTATGACAGCTACTACTGCTGCTACTACTATTACTGCCACTACTATTACCGCCACTACTGCTACTACTACCGTTACAGCTATACTACTGCTACTACTACTGCCGCTAATACTACTGCCACTACCACGACCACTACTACTACCACCACTGCTACTATTACTAATACTACTACTACACACTTCTAAAACCACTAACTACTATAACCAGTACTACTACTGCTACTGCCTCCACTGCTACTGCTACTACCGCTGCAACTTCTACCGCTAATACTACTACCACTACTGCTGCTACCGCTACTACCGCTACTGCGAGCTGCTACCAGCACTAGAAGCGACTGCTACTACTACTACTTACCGCTATTACTGATACTCCCTCTACTGCTGCTACTACAGCTACTACGAATACTACTACCACTACTGCTACTACTACTACAACTACCACAACCAATACTACTACTGCCACTAGTAGTACTACCGCTACCACTACTACCATGACGAACTACTACTGCTACTGCTGCTGCTACTACTACCACTACTATTGCTACCTCTACTGCTGCTACTACTACCATCGCCAGTAGTACTACCATTACTACTACTACCAGTACAACTGCTACCACCAGTACTACTGCTGGTATTAGTAGTATTAGTAGTAGTAGTGGTAGTAGGGGTAGTATTGGTAGCAGTAGTGGGCGTGGTAGGTAGTCAAAGTAGTAGTGTTAGTCGTAATCGCGGTAGGAGCCAGCGAGCGAGCTGTTTGGGTTCCGCAGACAACAGCAGCGATCAATTCTTGAACGCTGTTTCCATATATAGTATATACTGTCATGGGGAAGCTGGACCCAGTTTCCAGGTGGTGGAGCTCCCTACCAACAGAAAGGAGCCATCATATTTGCATGAATTCCACTTTGATGGGGTTCTTAAGACTGTCAGAATACTGGCTTGCACATGCGATTGTTTCTTTAATCCTCCAGTCCGTCTGGGCCTCGTTTTTTCCGGTGCCGCTCCTTGCCATGCGCCAAAAAGAAAAGGAACCAGTGAAGGTGCAAAATCGCATCCCTCTGCCTCAGGCTGGTGTTGCCAGCCTTTTCCATTTGGTAGGCCGAGGCCCCAAGGACGTCTCTTGTTTACTGCGGCGTCCAAACAAGATACTCGGGAAACATACTGGTGGGTCTAAAGGGGAAAAAAATAAAAAATTCCAGAATCTGGATCCACTTTTTTTTTTTTTTTTTTTTTTAATTTATTAAAGCTATATTCAGATAATATTCTTCTCTCAATATCACCTCACACTACCCACCTACCACTACTCCTAATTGTAGGCATACAGGGAACCCCGTAGCAGCCAGAACCGTGTTCACGAGATAACATGCGGGGGCTGCTCCCGACCTGCAGGTGGGCGATACCGGCGAGGGGACAGCTGGTAGCATCAGGGACCATGCCAACAGAACCAATCCCTGTGCGGCTGTGCCTCCCCTCAGGCGGTGGTCCCCTCCCCTGAGGACATCAGCAGACTCTGCTCTATGTCGATCGGGGGATCCAGTGTTCTATCTCTAGGTGGCGGGCGCCAAGCATGCCCGGGAAGGTACATGAGGTCAATGGGGATTGAACCCACGACCTCCTGAATGCCACTTGCGAGCCTTACCAACTGAGTTAGGCAGCTGGATTCCACTTGGGTTTTCCTTTTCGGAAGAATCAAGGCTGGATGATTCTTTTCATAAGGTAGGTTGGACCCTGTGTCCATGATGAAGTATTCAGGACAAAGCTAGGCGGTGGCCCCACCGCCTTTCCAGCTAGAATTCTGAGGACTAAAGAATCTGTCTTTTTTTTCCAAAAGGGGAATAAAAGGATGCACTGATCCAGGACATAGGCAGAGCAGGTCGGTACTACCAACTTCACCCGAATAGAACGCCGGCCGGTCATTATAGCTGTATTTTGGGCAACTTGCCGACCAGATGCAGCGATAATGACCCGGCGTTTTATTCGGGTGAAGAAGGTAAATTTTGTGGGCTGAAGAGGTCCCCCTTTGTTGTAGGAAAATGATACGATTACTTTTTTTGAGTTTTTTTTTATTCAGTGGTGCGTACGCTGGACCACTTTTGTTTCCAGCACATGCTGAAGGGCCCCACCTAATTTTGTAAGGGACGCCGGGCCCGGTTCCCGGCTTTTATAAAGACATTGTTCCCTTAAAAAAAAAAGGAAAACAAAAAGAAGAATGATACTTCTATTTTGTTTGGATTCTTTATCATTCTTTGGGGAACTTGGAGCGACAGGGAGTTTTTTTTTTTTTTTTTTTTTTTTTGGACTTGCGCAGCGACAGGGAGTTTTTGTTGGTGGCAAGGTAGCACAAATAGAAGGGCAAAGACGTAAGTTTGTGGGGCGGAAACTGGCTGGCAAGCGCATCTTCAGCTAGAAGGTAGAAAGATGCACTTGGTATTTATTTGCCTTTTCCAAATCTCCAGAGGGTTGAAGCCAGACCCAATGGCTAAAAAAAAAAAAAAGAAAAAAAAAAGACCCAATGGCTACAATTTTATTTATGGGCGGTGGCAGCATCCGCCCCCCCCCCAAAAAAAAAGAAACAAAGCTGGCCAGCATGGCCCCCAGCCCTCAAAATTACCTTGTCTCCTTTTCAAACATTTGTCACTCACCGATTGGAGAATGTAAACATCTCAGGTCTGCAATCTTTATGGGTCGGTCACTACTACCATTTTCCCGCCCGAACACAACGCACCCTCATTCTGAATGTATCTGGCCGGAAACATACCTTGTATACTTTCCTTTTAGGATGCGTTATGTTCGGGGGAAGATGGTAGTATGACAGGAACAGCAAATCCTCGGCGAATGGAATAAATCATATCAAAGGATTAGATTGGTTAGCGCGCCTTCAGGGAGACTGGCCAAAATAAAACAATTTGAGGATGAAAGGCTTGGCAGGCAGCAAAGGATTTATACTATGTATAAAAGAAATAAAACTTGCTACACCGCCAGTACTTGGCCCAGCTACCAGCCGTGAAAAAAAAATAGAGTAGAAACGTTTCTAGTCGGATGAATTTGGGCGCTTCTGTAGTGACCCGTTCATTTCCTAGAAGGCACCTGTAATACCCGTATCTTTTTTTTTTTTTTTTTTTTTTTTTTTAATTGCTCCAATCTATTCGTGGGGAGCAGCACGTGCTGGGAACTGAATTAACTCAATTATATTACTCTGGACTTCTCCGTGGTCTTGCCAATTACTCTCCAGACACGAAATGCAGCAATTCGGACATCTCCGCAGAATTGCTGGACACCAAGTGTGGCTTGTTAACGGGCACGGCCTTTTTTTTTTTTTTTTTTTTTTAATCCAACTCGAAACTCATTATAACTGTTACCAACGAGGCCGGGGACCTCACAATTCAACCCGGGGGAAACACACTGACAGCATCAGCCAGTTTTGGTTTGGCATCAGAGGGGTACTTTAAACTAGGAACAGATCCGGTCCCGAAGACCTCCGTCCTGACTTTCCCTCTCTGAGCATAAAAAAGTTGCCACCAGGGCCTGCAAAAGCCGAACAATCCAAAAAAGGAAACAAAGCTACTCAAATGTCCCTAACCCGACTGCCACTACCATTCGCTACTCGAAGGCTACTCTCGCGTAACCTACTGAACCGTCTATATTCGACGGCTTCCTAACCAGCACTCCCTCCACTGACCTTCCCTCTGCCTGTCTCCTGCGACTGTCCCGTTGCCCGCCAACGGAGTGCTCAGGTCTAGCCCCAACTTTCATACCTACCTCATCGCCTTTGTGAACCAGTCCCCTACAGTTACTCTCCCTTCTGCAATCTTTGCCATCTTTCCATCAATCCCCCACGTCTCTTGAAACCACTTCAGCCCAGCCGCCCTGTAACCGCCCTTACTAACATTCCTTCTCCAGTCCGCCAGAATAGATCTTCTCAGCAGCTGAGCGAAAGTCGCTCGCGTCTGCTTGTTTGTCCATTCCTCTCCTTTAAACACTCTCTCGTTTCTCTCTTGCCAAATCACCGTACAACCGACCGCTCGTGCCACTTGGGCAACGTAGCCCCAGCCCTTCGATATCGAGAAGCTTTCCTGGATTCCACCCAACAAAGTCCAAGTCTTAGACCAAGGGAACGAACCATTTGTACATTCTTCCCAGAATTTTCCCCACCAGCTCCAAATTCTAGCCGATGCTGGACAGTCCCACCATAGGTGGACTGTCGACTCAAAAGCCCATTGACATCTGGAGCACGTCAGGTCCACCTTCAACCCGTGTTCTGTTAACCATACTGCCAATGGTGTCGCCACCATTGACAGTAACCACAGCGTAGATGCCTGTCTTTGACAAGGGATCAGTTTCAACTGCTCCCAACACTTCGTCAATGCGTTCCCGATCTGTTCTGGTTCTACTTCCAACAAGCGTATCCACCTAGTCCGTGCCTTTACCTCCGGGTGTTTCAGTGGTACTGACAGCTTGTAACCCAGCCGAGTTGTATAATTAAACAGGCAGATACTCTCCCCTCCTCTACCCTGTGCTCTCCATTCCCACATGCCCGGATCTGTTCTTATTACTGAGATGGATCTCCCTTCCGCGAATAAAATCCTCGGGGTCGAGTCTTCCACGATAACTCGGACTTGTGATAGAGCCATTCCCAACACTGGATACCCCTCCACTTTGTCTGTGATTATTTGGTCTCCCTTCCTCATTTCCTAGCCCTGGAAGGTTCTTTTCCCATCCGGGTGAATTTCCACCAGTTCCCACAGTTTCCTGTCAGGCTGAGAATCCTGAACGTACCATGTCCCGGGCGGGTCCACTGTTTCTGGGGCTAATAGCCGCTTCCATTCATCCGGGATTGCCTTAATTACCTCCTCTAACTTTCCTCCCACCTGTCTCATTTGTCCTAGTCGGGCCTTCACTTCCTCCTCTGACTGCCAGTCCTCCGAAAAGGCGTCCCAGATATCTTTGATCCTAACTATCCCTTTCTCGATCCACTTCCTACCCATGCTCTGGGACTCTGCCCCCAACCACTGATCGTCCTCCCCTCTAATCCTTGGGTTCTCAAAGATAGACTGCTGGAGGACCTCCCCTTTCGTGACAGGCTCCACCCAGACGTCCGGCCTCAACTTTCTCCATGCCTGAATCAGAGCTCTCCAAAGTGGTGATCTGATCCTCCTCCTCTGGAAGGAATACAAAAAGATACAAGTCCAGACATCGCCAGACCTTGACAGATTCCACTCGTCAGCCAAAATCTTTTCTGCCAGGTACACCCAATGAGGAATTGGTTCCTCTAGGCAGGCTTTCACCACCCAGTTCACCAACATTGCTTCGTTTTGCCTTACCGGGTCGTGAATCCCCAATCGCCCCTCGGATCTGGGGAGGCATAGCATCTCCCAAGCCACCTTGGTCAAGAAGTTCTCCTCCTCTTTGGCGTACGGTTTCCAGATGAATCTCGCTGCCCTCCTTCTTAGCTGCTTGCAGGTTTGATCCCCGATCCTCCTTACAGTGCCCACGAACCACAGCAGGGCGAACATAGCTCCATTCAACACCAGTGCTCTACCAAAGATTGAGAGGTGTGGTGCCATTCCCCATGTAACCAAGCGATGAAGAGATTTCTGAAGAAGGATGTCATCTTGTTCTGCTGCACAGTCCAACAACGCAATTTGCACCCCCAAAAACCTTTCTGACTTATCCTGTTCCACCCGCTTCATTCCCCACTCTGACTCCAACTTGTATACTTCCATGAGTAAATATACCGATTTGTGCCAGTTAATGGCCGCCTCAGAAAGTGATGAAAACTCGTCCAGGCAGTCCTTCAGCGCCGTCAATGATTCCACAGAGTTTTCCGAAACTGCGAAGAGGTCATCCGCTAGAGCCTTCACCTTGTAGGATGTTGGCCCCGTCGGCATGCCCCTGATTTGCGGGTGCTCCCTGATATTGTTCAACACCACGTCAAATTGAACTGCGAACAAGAGGGGCGCCAAAGGGCAGCCCTGGCGTAAGGATCTTGTCAGACTGAACTCCCCAGACAGTCGCCCATTAATTATCACTGCCGCCATAGAGAAAGTGTACAAGGACTTCACCCAATTGATGAAGTTCACCCCAAACCCCATCCACTGCAGTGTGGATAGTACGTAGGACCAATTCACCCGGTCGTACGCCTTCTCTAAGTCTAATAGTAGTACCGCCACATTCAACTCTTTGCTCTGTACTTCTTCTAATGTCTCAATTGCAGTGATAATGTTGTCAAATATAGATCTCCCTCTAATAAAGGCCGCCTGATCGCCTTTTACTAAATCCGGAAGGTACTTACTTAGTCTGCGGGCCAGGATCTTTGCGAGGATCTTATAAGATACGTTTAACAATGAGACTAACCTCCAATTCCTAATCTTTGTACTGTCCCCTTTCTTGAATAGTACAGAGATGACATCGCTACACATTCCTTTCGACAGTCTCCCTCCCGTCAGAACATTGTTAAATATTTCGACCAAGTAATCCCCCACCTCGTCCCACTGGTCTATGTACCATTCCGTTGGCAGTCCGTCTATTCCTGGCGCCTTTCCCTTCGACATGTTCCTCAAGGCTTGGGGGGCTTCCTCATTGGTTACTGGTCTATCCAAGTCTAGTCTCCCTTCGGCTGCCAGTCTGACCTCTGTATTCGTCCAATGTGTGCTCCCCTCATACAAATCTGTTACCACCTCTGCGCCCTGCAGTCGGGATGTCAATATGTCCTTGTAGTACATTGTTGCATAATTGCATAGGTCCGCCAACTCAATCGCCTTCCGTGCTTCCTTATCGAAGGGATGTTGAAGCTCAATCATTGAAGCCGATGTTCGGCTCGGAGTCAGCTTCTGACAGGTCTCTCTAGACATCCGATCATACACCACTATCCCTTTTACCCGAAGTCTATCCGCCCAAACTTCAGATTTCTTGATCTGAGCTTCCTCCCATTCCTTCATCAACACACCTCGTTCCTTTCCCCACACCAAGTTGGAGACTGGATGTTCAGACATCCTCTTTTCGGCAAATCTAATTTTCTTCCTGATATCCCTCTCATATTGAAGTCTATTGTAGGCCAAAATACGAGAGAAGACGTTAAGGAGGTTTGATAGTAGGGCTGTACCCCCGTCCCACCATTCTTCCCTAGAGCCATAACAATCCTTGACCTTTTCCCAATCTACCCAGAACTCCTTCATCCATTTCTTCAGCCCCGGATCATCTAAGTTCTGAGTGTTGAGTCGAAACAGACCCTTCCCCCTCCTTGCCCGTTTCATGGTCAAGGTTAAGAGGACAGGCTTGTGGTCCGAAAGAGGGTGCTCCGTCTCTTCCACTTTTACAACCGAATTCCATAGAGAGGCAGATATAAGAAAGTAATCAAATCTACGTTGCACTGTCACCGGTCTTGGGTTCGAGTGCCAGGTGAAACCATCCTTGTCCGGGTGCATCAACCTGTATGGATCGATTAGCTCAATTTCCATCATCATGTTTAACAATGTGTCCCTATCCGCTGAACTACTTTGCCTTGACTCAGTACAGTCTAACGACAAATTCTAGTCGCCTGAGATAACCACTCTATCACAGTCGGGTACCACAAATGACAGTTCCTTAATAAAAGTAATCCTAGCTCTCTGATCTGTAGGAGCATAAACAGTCCCAATAATCCACTCTTCTCCCGCTATTCCCAGCTTAACCCACGCCCAACGTCCCCAGAGGTCAGCGTAGAAGTCTATGATCGTTGCATCCAAGCTTCTGTTTACCAGAATACCAACGCCGCCCCTTGTCTCCTGAGCCGGGGACCACAGCTGGGGGCCGTCCCACCATGTTCCCAGTGCCCCAATCTTTTCTTCCCCTAATTTAGTCTCCTGAAGGCAAATGACCTGAGCTCCTTTCTCACGGATCCACGCCTTCAACCTATCCTTCTTGAATTTCCCGGAGCTGTCGCCCAGGCCGCGGACGTTCCACGTGGCCACCTTCAGGTTACCCATCCTTGTTCCTAGCAGTCTCTCACGTTGGGCCCGACTTCTGTGAATTGAGTGATTTCTGGGATGTGGACGGTCCTGCGAGCCATGACTTTGTCAGGTGAGTCTTCATGAACGGAGATAACAGCTTCTTGTCGTTCGGCAGTTTCCTTTCAACATCCATCAGCAGCTCTGCAGACTTGAGTGGTGGAATCTTGATTCTGCTCAGTTCCTGCTTCCTTTTTTCTGTAATCCAGGACACTGGGCAGAGTCGCATTCCCTCCCTTTCCATTACCTCGATCTGTCCTTCCACAAACCGGACGTCCATGAGCGGAATGAAGAACTTTATCTTCCTGCCATTTTCTGGGTTATCCGCTACAATTCTTGGCACCAGCATGTCCGCTATTAACCGGAACAACAACCTGTCCGCCACCGTCGTCCTCACCATGTTCGCAATCGCAGTTGGCATCGGAGACTCAGGTGACTGGAGCGACAGAAGAAGCGTGCTGCCATCCTCTGAAACCCAAGTAATGAAGTAGAATTCATTTCTAACAGTCGTACGTAACACGGGGAGAATCTTTGATTCGATCCCCTCCTATTGGCCTCTCGCAACTGCCACCGGAATTCTCTTCCTTGTTGTCTTTGTTCCCGGAGTAATTATCTCCCTGATCCGACCCTGTGAGCCCTCGAATTCCATCGAACCCGATTTCTCCTCCCTGACTCCTCGCAGATCAGAGGTGGCGCTATCTTCTTGCCGCAATCTCCTCTGCTTTCCTGGCGTGCCACCTGTCCCTCTGTTGTCACTCACTGCCTCCCTGTTGGGGCTCGACATTCCACCCTGGAAACCCCCTCTGGTGTCATGCGTTCCGTGCACCTGTCCTCCTGAAGCGTGATGCAAACCTGCTCCTCCTCCCCACGTTGCTGCATACATCCCTCCTCCTCCGTGGACGCTCCCTCCCAGTTGCCCTCCAAGTGTACATCCACCCAAACCCTCTTGAGAAAAGAGTGGGAAACCGTAGCCTCCTGGTGGGAACGGTGGCATGTGGTTTATTGCACAGGCCACGGACCAAACGCCGATAAGTTGTTCGGCATTCCCGGGATCCCAGCTTGCATCCCTGTTCACGTCCCAAGCATCCCCATCAACGACTGCCCCGACTGATAGAACTGTTGTCGCCTTATCGCATCCGGTGAGAACGCCGCGTTATAATAATTACTTGCAGGACCCTGCATCTGCTGGAGTTCCTGATTGCTCCAGTCCTGGTTCCGCCTGGCTCGGTGTTGGACCCAATGGTCCTGAGTACAATGGTTGTGCGGCTGATGTTTCCTGTCTTGTTCCATACCCTCCTTGCGAAGTACCCTGTTGTGGCTATCTGTTTCTCCTACATTCGCTCTCCTCGTGGAAGAAGGCCCTGCATCTCCTGCACCTTGGAGTGTCTGATGATGCCAGATTAACTGTCAGAGTATCCCCTTCGTAAGTCACCACGGAAATTTTGTCCTTCATATTTGGTCTCCGACGGCTCCAGATCGAACTTCAGATTTATGAGCGCTGGTTTTTGCCGATCCTGCTCGGCAGGGTGCGAGTTGATTACTAGCCCTATTGCCTTCGCTATTTGGGCCTCCAGATAAAACATCGCATCGAGCGGCACTTGCACCGCAATCACGCATAAATTCGACTCCTCTTCCCTTCTCCTTTGTTCCCGTAGTTGGGCTTTTGTTAACCAAGGTTTAAACTCCATTACATAGCTGATTTGACCCAGCGTAATCTCATCCCTTCCTTTCGCCAGAAGCCACTGTTTGACTGCCGCACTTCTCGACACATAGGAGACGACATTCAGACCTTCCACTTTTATCCTCCCTCGCCTGAAAGTATTGCTCTCAAAGTCACCTTCTTGCGTACGTGTGTCCTCATACGCCCTCACGAGATCATCCTTCGTCTTCTTTGGTAAAAAACGTGCCGCATTCCAAAATATCACCGTGACTGTGTGATCCTTCAACCAGTCCACCTTCGTTTTATCAATCCGGTTGTTGACTTTGAAGGTGACTTCTCTCCCGTTGACTGTCATCTCCCCTGGATCTATCGAGGTTGGCAAGATTCCTTCATCACAGCACAGCTTCGCCAACTCCCTCACTCTATCCTCGTCCTCGTCCATTGGTTGGTATGGGGCCGGGGGGGGGGGATCGTGCCCCACCCCTAGTGACTTCCACATCAGCCATACTCTCTGTGATGCTACTCCTCCCTCCTCGTTCTCCTAACCTCTTTCTTAATACACCTCAACCTACGGAAAAACACACTCGTTCTTGCTCCCAATAGAAGCCTTTTCTTCGCCTTCCCACCAAGCGCCTACTCGAGCTTCACCTGCTTCTTATGTCGGGTCCGGATGCCGAGTGACCACGAGCAGTACCTCCATGGCCTCCATTAGCGCCATGATCGTATGACAAAGCATGCGATGACGGTTCTGCCCTCCACCAGGGAAGTATCGCGTCGGTAATTCCCTGCGTCGGCTCACGTCCACCGTTGCCGGCCGACCGTGTCTGGTCCGAGCGCTATTTTGCGCCACCGGAGGCGCGTCGGTCCGGGCCCGAAACCCTTCGGGCACGACTTTAGGAAGTCCTGGTGGTTTAAAAAGGAATGTTAAAAAAAAGAAAAGAAAGGGAATGCAAGAAATTTGCAAAGGATTCATCTTTCCTTCAGAGACTGGACTGTTATGATCCTGGCCAACTTCGAGATACACATCCATCAGATAGTACAATGCCGTCCAATTGCAGAAAGAAATGAATGAACTTGAGAGGAGAGAGAGGATTAGAAGAAGAAGAAGAAGTAAGAAAGAAGAAGAAGATGATGTACACCAGCATAGACAAACGATAAGGCTCTTCTTCTTCGCCCAACAATCTCCTCCTCCTTATCTCCCCCTTCTCTTATTCATACAAGAAATAATAATACAATGTTGAATGGCTGATC